ACAAGATAATGGATGAGGATGTTTTGTTCAGACTAGCAGGTACAAGGATAAGGAGGGTAACTAAGCCCTGGTCTACACTACGAGTTTAGGTCGAAGTTAGCAGCGTTAGACCGTTTTAACCCTGCACCCGTCCACATGACGAAGCCATTTTTGTTGACTTAAAGGGCTCTTAAAATCGATTTCTGTACTCCTCCCTGACGAGGGGATTAGTGCTGAAATGGACATCGCTGTGTTGAATTTGGGGTAGTGTGGACTCAATTTGACGGTATTGGCCTCCAGGAGCTATCCCAGAGTGCTCCATTGTGACTGTTCTGGACAGCACTCTCAACTCAGATGCACTGGCCAGGTAAACAGGAAAAGCCCCGCGAACTTTTGAATTTCATTTCCTGTTTGGCCAGTGTGGCAAGCTGATCAGCACAGGTGACCGTGCAGAGCTCATCAGCAGAGGTGACGATGGAGTCCCAGAATCGCAAAAGAGCTCCAGCATGGACTGAACGGGAGGTACTGGATCTGATCGCTGTATGGGGAGATGAATCCGTGCTCTCAGAACTCCATTCCAAAAGACAAAATGCCAAAATATTTGAAAAAATCTCAAAGGGCATGAAGGACAGAGGCTATAACAAGGACCCGCAGCAGTGCTGCATGAAACTTAAGGAGCTCAGGCAACCCTACCAAAACACCAAAGAGGCAAATGGCTGCTCCGGGTCAGACCCCCAGACATGCTGCTTCCATGATGAGCTGCATGCAATTCTAGGGGGTGCCCCCACCACTACCCCACCCCTGTTCATGGACTCCTGCAAGGGTGGAGTCTCACGCAACAGGGATGAGGATTTTGGGGACGAGGAAGATGATGATGATGATGAGGAGGAGGGTAGTGCAAAACAGGCAAGCAGAGAAACCGTTCTCCCCGACAGCCAGGAACTGTTTATCACCTTGGAGCCAATACCCTCCCAACCCTCCCAAGCTGGGCTCCTGGACCTTGAAGGCAGAGAAGGCACCTCTGGGTGAGTGTACCTTTGTAAATATAATACATGGTTTAAAAGCAAGCGTGTTTAATGATTAATTTGCCCTGAAGACTTGGAGTCACAGACCGCCGCTGCAGCCCCTGTGTAACCGCCCGCCCTCCTCCCCAAGTTCCATAGCCTCCTCACCCAGACGCCCAAGAACGCAATGGGGCTCCGGGCACCCAACCACTCCACCCCAGAGGACTTCCCAAGCAACAGAAGGCTAGCATTCAATAAGTTTTGAAGTGCAGTGTGGCCTTGTCCTTCCCTCCTCCCTCACCCCACCTGGTGCTTCCCTCCAACCTCACCCCTCCCGGGCTACCTTGGCAGTTATCCCCTTATTTGTGTGACGAATTAATAAAGAATGCATGATTTTGAAACAACAATGACTTTGTTGCCTCTGCAAGCGGTGATCGAAGGAGGGAGGTCGGTTGGCTTACAGGGAAGTAGAGTGAACCAAGGGGCCGGTTTTCATCAAGGAGAAACAATCAGAACTCTCACACCGTAGCCCGGCCAGTCATGAAACTGGTTTTCAAAGCTTCTCTGATGCGCAGTGCGCCCTGCTGTGCTTTTCTAACTGCCCTGGTGTCTGGCTGCATGTAATCAGTAGCCAGGTGATTTGCCTCAACCTCCCACCCCGCCATAAACATCTCCCCCTTACTCTCACAGATATTGTGGAGCACACAGCAAGCAGTAATAACAGTGGGAATATTGGTTTCGCTGAGGTCTAACCGAGTCAGTAAACTGCGCCAGCGCGCTTTTAAATGTCCAAATGCACATTCTACCACCATTCTGCACTTGCTCAGCCTATAGTTGAACTGCTCCTTACTATTGTCCAGGCTGCCTGTGGATGGCTTCATGAGCCATGGCATTAAGGGGTAGGCTGGGTCCCCAAGGATAACTATTGGCATTTCAACATCCCCAACGGTTATTTTCTGGTCTGGGAAGTAAACCCCTTCCTGCAGCTGTTCGAACAGACTATGTTCCTGAAGATGCGAGCGTCATGTACCTTTCCTGGCCATCCCACGTTGATGTCGGTGAAACGTCCCTTGTGATCCACCAGTCCTTGCAGCACCATTGAAAAGTACCCCTTGCGGTTTATGTACTGGCTGCCAAGGTGGTCAGGTCCCAAGATAGGGATATGCGTTCCGTCTATCGCCCCACCACAGTTAGGGAATCCCATTGCTGCAAAGCCATCCACTATGACCTGCACATTTCCCAGAGTCACTACCCTTGATAGCAGCAGCTCAGTGATTGCGTTGGTTACTTGGATCACAGCAGCCCCCACAGTAGATTTGCCCACTCCAAATTGATTCCTGACTGACCGGTAGCTGTCTGACATTGCAAGCTTCCACAGGGCTATTGTCACTCGCTTGTGAACTGTGAGGGCTGCTCTCATCTTGGTATTCTTGCGCTTCAGGGCAGGGGAAAGCAAGTCACAAAGTTCCATGAAAGTGCCCTTACGCATGCGAAAATTTCGCAGCCACTGGGAATCATCCCAGACCTGCAACACTATGTGGTCCTACCAGTCTGTGCTTGCTTCTTGGGCCCAGAATCGGCATTCCACGGCATGAGCCTGCCCCAATGCCACCAGGATGTCCAAATTGCCGGGGCCCGTACTTTGAGAGAAGTCTGTGTCCATGTCCTCATCACTCTCGTCACCGCGGTGCCGTCGCCTCCTCGCCTGCTTTTGCAGGTTCTGGTTCTGAACATACTGCAGGATAATGCGCAAGGAGTTTACAATGCTCATAACTGCCGTGGTGATCTGAGCGGACTCCATGCTTGCCGTGGTATGGCATCTGCAGGAGAGCAGAGTTGCAGCGGAAGCGGTGGCTGATGACGGATGCCACAAGAATAGATATTTATAGAGAACGACGAGAGGACCTGCAAGGTGGATTCATGAGAGCAGGAGAGCAGAATTGAAGCGGAAGCGGGAGCTCATGACAGCCAACATGGAGAAATTCGCTATCGATCGAAACAAGAGCAGGAGAGCAGAGTGGCAGCGGAAGCGGTGGTTGGAAGACCAGTTTTCCAGACCTATTGCACCGTCTGCTGCCAGCAGCACCAGGACACAACAGCGGCGGTGTCCGTTAGCTGAGCTGAGTGGGCTGCACGCTTGCCATGGTATGGCGAGACAAGAGCAGGAGAGCAGAGTTGCAGCAGAAGTGGTGGATGACGACGGTCATATAGAGGACCTGCGAGGTGGATTCATGGCACCAGGAGAGCAAAGTTGCAGCGGAAGCGGTCATTCGATGATGACGGTTAGCAGTCCTACGGCACTGTCTGCTGAAAGCAGTATGGCATCCGCAGGGAAAAAAGGCGCGAAACGACTGTCTGCCATTGCTTTCACGGAGGGAGGGGCGATTGATGACATGTACCCAAAACCACCCGCGACAATGTTTTTGCCCCATCAGGCATTGGTAGCTTAACCCAGAATTCCAATGGGCGGCGGAGATTGTGGGAACTGTGGGATAGCTACCCACAGTGCACCGCTCCGAAAGTCAACGCCAACCACGGTACTGTGGACGCACTCTGCCGACTTAATGCGCTTAGTGGGGACACACACAATCGACTGTATAAAATCGCTTCCTAAAAAATCGACTTCTATAAATTCGACCTAATTTCGTAGTGTAGACATACCCTAACGATGTCTGGAGTGAAATACGTAACTCGTTTGCATAACAGGATAAGTCATCAGAGGGGCAACTTTGTGCCAGCCTAGGGAACAGCGGCATTGTGATGTGCTGACTGAGCATGTACCATTGCTGCAGGCGTACATGTGTTAGTGTACCTGTAGCTCCTCGGGGCGCTAGCACCTGGCTTTGTTAACAATAAACCTGGTCGGGCACCTTCACCACTGTACCAAGCCTGTGGTCTTATGAATAATATCGAGATCTGCTGAATGAACATGCTGCCCTGTCTGCTAGTGCAGCTGACACCGGAGCTCCAAGAACAGCAACCCTGGCAGCAGTAACAACGCTGCAGGATCAGCAGCAACATTCCACCGCACCAACAACACAGAGACACTTTGTTATTAAGTACCTTGTCATGGCAGTCAGGCTCGCACAGTGGGAAAGTGGGCTCCTGCACTATTTCTGCCTTTCTCCTTCCAGTTTCTCTGCCCTATCTCCCTGGATATTTGTCTATTTAAAATATTTATATGGCCCCCACTACCACGGTATCGGAGCACATCACTATGTTTAATGCATTGCACTACACTGTACAGGAGACATGAGGCACAGATAGACTAAGTGACTTGGCCAAGGCCTCACAGGAAATTGAACCTGGGTCCCCAGTCCCAGAGCTAGCACACTAATCACTGGACCATCTTTCCTCCCGGTTAGTGTGTCTCTTCTCTTTTCATTTCTCTGTACTTCTTTCCCTTCCAATTCCACATTCTTTAGCCAGGGAATTCACTCCTCACACCTTCCCTGTTCCACCACTAAACTAAGCAATATGATAGTTGATGCTTATATGTCTTCAGGCTTTAGGGTTAATACTGATGTGGTTACTGGCAGGCAGGGACGCTCACACCTCTCAGAGTAAGTCATTTACAGGCTGCTTGCAGATTCAGGCAGACAGCGCCGCATTGAATTACACCCTGTTTACTTTTAGAAGGTTTACTTCACAACCATGACAGCTAGACACTTAACAAAAAGAAAAAAAAAAAAAAAGAACGCTGAGATCGTGAATCTGCTATGTAGCTCATGTAAATACACCATAGAGACCGGATACAGCCCACAGGGCCCATTTGACACCTCTAGCCTAATGTATGGACAGGAAATGGTTATAGTCAGTCCCCTCTCAGCTCTCTAAAGACATAAATAATTTTGACATGGAGCGTTCGAGCACCCAGGGTCATTTCCAGACCACCCAAGGGTTTGCATTAATGGATTTTCTTTGCTTAGCTATCAATTAAACTAGTGTTTACTTTGAGTGTTTTAACATCTTTTAAATGGAAGCAGCTAAAGGAGACTCACACAAAGCCCCACTTACTTGTTAGTGACTGCTTGCATAAACTCATCAATCAGTTCATCGTATTGTTTCCCACGGACCCGCTTGTGTTTCAGTCCAATATAGAGTGGATCATTCAGGAGAGCCTAGGACACAAAGCATTCTGTTTATGGCACCTGCTTCTCTGCCAGACAGAGATTTACATCCAAAATGTACATGTGTCTCACATTTATGTCTGCTTCAATCATTATTGATAAACAACAAAACATGGCGGCTGTCCAGTTCCTGGGCACGATGCAAACACAAATCCCTTCCTGAACACCAAATGTAGCTTTAGTTCATGATAAATAAACCCACACCAAGGAGCGTCTCACTGTGGAAATACAATCATAGGAATTGAGTGCTTGCTGGACAGCACAGTCCTCTCTCCACAGGACGAGGAGAGCTCATGCAGTGACAGTGCTTCCTTATGCCACCTTCCTGAAGTGTTTCACTCTTGCCCTGTAAGGCCCAGCTTGTAGGTAGTTCAGTGACCATTGCTCATTCAGTTCTGGGTTTCTTACCTGAGGCTGCTCATGTGGGGTTCACTAGGGATTTTTGCAACATGGACTCCTTTCCATTAGGAACTAATGAGGCCATCAATCCATTTCATCTAAGCCACCAGATGCTAACAAGCTTTCTATTTTATTAATCTGAGCTGGATTTGAACCAGTGATCTGATTGCAGAGCCCTTTACTCATCTCCTGAACCATTTAGTCCTCAACTTCACCTGTATGTGTTTGCTTGTCTCCTTGATTTTGCTGCCATTTTCTAACTTCAGACTCAGATTTCTATTTCTCAAAGCCTTTTGCAGATATTGGACACAACTGCATACATTCAAGAGACTTACAAAAAACTGTTTTTCCAATCAACCCAACAGGTGCTGAACTGGGACCTGCATCCTATCTATGGCTGATAAGAAGCAGTTGCCTCCAAAAGTGGCGATTCAGCATGGAAAGAAATAACATCCGGGAGAATGTGACAGAAATAGCTGTAGCAGGAGACAGATGGGCCAGCTAGCGGGATGTTTTGAAGGTCTCAGTGAGTCATCAGAAAGAGATCCCACTTCCGCCCTGGCCTCAGGAACTGAATCATGGCTAACAGAGGGGGGCATCCTACCAAAGCCTATTGTCCTGTATCTTTGCAAACCTTAACTGTTGGCAGGTATGCTAAAACTAACTCTGTTTCCAGAGCCACAGAAACCCAGCTGTTTTTCCTTTAGCAGGGAATATGAAAGGGGTTTTCCGTTGATTTTGATTAGGTCTGTTCTTCTATGCCATGGTTCTTTAAAGAGAAGACACATATTTCCATTACTATATAGCACTTGAATACATTTTTAAGTGGTCTATGGCCTGTTGCTGGTTCTCTAAAGTGAGCTACCTGGGCGATTCCAAGTTCTGAAAACCACAGGCTGAGTTGCCCAAGCAGTACATGGAAGTATTCAGTGACACACTGACCAAGTATCCCAGTAGATGTGGGAAACTTCTGATTTAATAATGTTATCTCCTGCATAAAAATAACAAAACCCATCAATTTATGCCAAATTCAAAAACTCAGCTACATTACCTAGAATCATACATGTCAGCCCTGGGTGTGCATCAGCATAGGCTGTGGAGCTGGCATTGGGAGGCAGACCTGAGCCATGGCCTGACCATGTTTGGCCAGGCCAAACCTGAATGTGCATGACTCCATGGGCCAGATTGCAACGCCACTCACTCCAATTTGGCCTGGCCACCACCACAAATCTTCCTGAAATTAATTTGAAAAGGTTGATCTGTATGCTCTGGAGTACCAGAAAGATGGCGATCAGTATGCACTAAACACAGACAGAGGCAAGTCGTTTAAAAATTAAATTTATTATTTTTTTCATGAGAGTGGGATAGCCTTGTGGTTTGAGCACAGACCTGAAAGCCAGGAATGCTTTTCATAAAAAGCCTGAGTACTAACCCAGTGTGGAGAACATGGGGAATATCTGCATTATTTTTATGAAAAGCATTTGTGATTCAGTTTCCCTCTCACTTTTGTATTGTTACCCCCTAGATAGGAAGGGGTTAATGTCTTTCCTGGAACAGGGGATAAGTAATGACCGTGACTGTGTGAGAGTCACATAAGGGTTGGTATGAATGGTCTATCAAGAACTGTCAACATGAGAATGGAGCTACCTTGGAGATACAATGGAGACTAACAACCTGACCATTGACTTTTAATGAATGCCGACCAAAGGGGCTTTTTGGATCAGGATGGGTAAATTACTTGTCTGACCCCAGTCCCTCTCCTGCCTGAGCCAGGGGAGCAGGGGAAAGTATCTGGACAAACCATGTGACTGAAATTTGAGACAAACAACTGACTCTGAGGTGTGAGCAGAGTGGAATAAGAATCTTGCTGGCCCAGTGGCCAGTGCAGGGTGATTGAACCCAGGGCAGAGCCATGGGTCTTCCCCTTGTCCAATATGGAGACCCAGGGTACACTCCCAGAGAGACTGTACAAAGGCAGAGGGACAGTATGCCCTGTGGATCCAAGACACCCCAATTCTGACACTTACTCCCCTCCTGCTGCTGGCATGGGGAAGTCACTTAGACCTGAATTTTCCATAATGGCCTTTAATTTGGCTTCCTCAGTTTTTAGGCGGCCCAACCTGAAACACTGGGCCCCACATCTAAAGCGGTGTTGAGAACCCACAATTCCAAATGAAGCCCATGAGTGCTGATCACCTCTGAAAAAATCAAGCAGCTGATTAAGGTGCCTAAGCTTGGATTGAGGTGACTATCAAGTTTGAAATTTTTTCCCCACTGGTTTTTCTGTGCCAGCTGAGAATCATATATTCAGATGGCTTATGGTCAAATGAGAAGCAAATACATTTTAAAATAGTTTATTGCGTATTTGACAAGCATTGGCCATAGCAAATATCCACAGGAATTTATTTTAAAAACATATCCTCACAGCTGTCTCTTCTGTCATCAGTAAAATGTTGCATTTCAGCCCTTCTGAGCCAGAGTCATAAGGCAGAAAACTGCGAACAGATGGAGTCCTCCTGTCCTGTTTATCGTGTGCAGTAAAGTGTGCAATCTGACAAAACACTGCCATTAATTAAGCCCAAACCACCCAGTGGGGATTCTCCTTTTGCTGAAATATAATCGCTTCCAAACACACCCAGGGATGTGTCAGTTTCCTTATGCTTTTCACAGGAAAAGTCAGTCTGTATCTGCATGGCTGAAATCTTTTAACTCACCTTATCATGCTGAAAGATGGAGCTGACCCTTCCACTCCCGTTGGCCCAGCTCCAGCTTCGCCTTCCCATCAGTGGAACATGAGGACAGCCAGTGTTTATCTGACCTCATACTACGAGCAAGAGTGCAAGCTGACAACAGGGCTGGCCCACAACATTTTGGCACCTGAGGCGGGTAGCTGAAATGACGCCCCAATGTCCCCTCGCTTGGGTCAAAACTTTGAAAGGTCTCAATTCTGCCTTCTTCCTATTCTACTCCTCTCATGGTACTGCTCTGCTATCTACCTCAATAAAGGACAACTAACAACTTAAAATGCCTTGTTCAAAAATTTTAAGTAACACATAACTTTCAAACACCTGAACAGCAAATGTAACTTTTCTTGTCTGCATAGTAAACGCTGGCATTTTTATCTGTTTGAATAATCAAAGTGGTCCTTTCTGTGCCTTCTTGGTTGCAAAGATTTGAATGGCTTCCTGCTGAAGGTCCACAGTCTGGGCCAGCTCATGCTCTATTGAGATGGTTGCAAGGCCGACCAGCCTCTCCTTTGTCGTTGTGGAGTGTAGATGTGTTTTTATTAACTTCAGCTTGGAGAAGCTGCATTCTCCACTGGCAACCGTTACAGGAAGTGTTAGAAGTATGCGCAGAGCAACAAAAGCATTTGGAAAGAGGGTGGTCATCTTATTTGTGCACATATGTTCCAGAGCAGCCTTTGGAGTTAATCCTGCTGAAATGTATCCTGAAAGGGTTTTCAGTTCATCACCTAAATCACTCGCATCAATATTGTGCATGTCATCATGTGTCAACACTGTCTCTAGTGCCCTGCATTGCTGGTGTAGGTCTTCTTCAGGTATAGTGAGGAGTTTTGGAATATTATACAACATCCCAAATATACTGCTGTGTTCCCTGAGCTGCATGAAATGTTCTTCAACTGACTGTATTGCACAATCTAACACCTGGTTAAAGAATTCAACTTTGAATTATTGTTTGGGGTCTCTTATGGGATTATCCCGTGCCTTGTAACCAAGATGTCTTCTTCTTCGGTGACTCTTGTATTCTTGAATGGGTGGGAAAATAGCTTCAGTGTGAAGTTCCTCTGCCAACTTCTGTGCACTGTTCAGAACGTTTTGAAATCCCTCATCTGACCGGTAAGACTGTAGGTATGACTTTGCTTTGTCCAGTTGTTCCATTACTCCAGATATATCAAGGTCAACACCTTGGAGTCTCTTGCTTACAGCATTTATTTCAAACAGTATGTCATGCCACAACACTAAGCCACACAGAAATTTTAAGCTATGTATGTTTCTGGTGATTCCATTTCCCTCTGCCACTGTTCTCCCATGAACAGTTCCTGTCATAGCATTATCTTCCATAATGGCAACTATGGCATCATCTATTTTCCCAATTTGGTTTTTGATAGGCTTTATCGCCTCCACTCGATTTTCCGATCGTGTGGCACTCAGTGGTTTCAGTGTCAGAGAGGATGTTCCCAGATGTTGCTTTAAAATTTGCCATCGATGAATTGATGCAGAGAAAAATACATAGATGCTTTGAATTACATTAAAAAATTCAGCAGCCTCACTGGAAGCTGATGCTGCATCACTGACCACCTAGTTCAATGAATGAGAACTGCATGGGACAAAAAAAATCTCAAGGGTTTAGCTCTCGGATCCGTGTCTGCACTCCTCTGTTCTTTCCTCTCATGTTGGCATCATTATTGTAGCCCTGACCTCTCATGTCAGCTATCGCAATTCCTGTATCTTCCAGCTTTTTAAGAAGCATATTTGCCATACCAGCTCCTGTAGTATCATCAATGTCAATAAATTTTAGAAAATGCTCTCTGACAGTCACCATTGCAGGGACATTTTCACTAGGTTCTGTTGTTGTTACAAAACACACTATTCAAGTCATTTGTTCCATATGGCTGAGGTCAGGTGTGCAGTCCAGAATAACAGAGTAATATCTTGCTGACTTCAGATCTGCCACAATCATCTGTTTGACTTTTGTTGCCAGTAACTGAATGATCTCATTTTGAATTGTTTTTCCATGGTAGTGGTGTGTGTACATTTCTTGGATGGTGACTCTTCTTAGATGCTCCTGGAGTACAGCATCAAACTCAGCCATCAACTCCACAATTTTAAGGAAGTTTCCATTGTTTGGCACATACAGTTGATCTGAAGTGCCACGCAGTGCTAGGTTTTGGGTGGCAAGCATTCTCACAATGGCAATGAGCCTTTTCAGAACATTTTGCCAGTAAAGAGACTCTGATGCAATCTTCTCTTGATGCTGATCAGCTATCGTGGCCTTTAACCTTAGTCTCATCTCAAGCTCTTTCCACCTATGAATGCTCTCTGGTGATTTGCTGCCTTCTCATGGCATGCCAGATTTCTAGCCAGATTTTTCCAGTCCTTTGTTCCTGTAGAACCCAATGTGGCTGGAACATTAGACTGGAAGAGTTTGCAACAAAAACAGTATGCAGAATGCTGGGTTTTTGAGTACATAAGCCATGGCCACTCCACTTTGTCACCATTGGGGATTTCACGCCAGTAATGTGTTGGATGGAAACTTCCATTTTCATTGTCTTTGGGGAACATGAAGTTTTTCACTTGCTGTGGCCCATGCAGTACAAGGAAGTCCCTCAGGCTACTGCTCAAGTGGGTCCACAGTCCTGGATCATCTAGACTTAGCAGCAGCTGTTTCTTGTGCCTCCACCACACTCTTCTCTGATCTACACTTTTCTTCTGGAATGTGCATGGTTACATCCATTTGAGATGGAGATATGGATGCTGCAGTAGCTTCCAGGTCACCTGCACTCTGACTAACTGGGAGACAGGGCCGGCTCCAGGGTTTTGGCCGCCCCAAGCAGCCAA